TATTGATTGAGCCAATCAGGGAATAATATTATGTAAATATATTATGTATAGTAATTTTATTTATAATTTGAAATTGTAAGATAGGTATAACAATTGTTGTTTGTATGTTGTATTCTTTATACGAATCTAAATATTAAGTACTTTCATTAATTTTTAGTTTCATCTTTATTTTATAGTGTAAATTAAATTAAATATATTATACATACTATCCGCAACAATAGCTAAAAAATAATAATAATAATTTTAAATTAATTTGTTGCCCGTTAACAGTATAATACATTAAAAATATAGGTTGATTGGTTTTAATAATTGAGAACCCTATAGGATATACAGAGTCAACAATGTATAGAAGATGTTTATTTCTATCTAAGGTCTGGATAAATGACAGTAATAGTCATAGCCAATCATGGTTTACGGTTTGTCAACTAAACGGCTTCATAGCTTTAATGGTACTTATCGAGTAAGTAATCATTTTATGATGATGATCATCACATGTGTTATGAAACACAAATCACAAACTGAATTACAAAAATTAAAAAATTAAAAAATTCATTAATACAATATGCACTTACATCTGTTCTCTAAAAAAAAAAAAAAATTCATTGAATAAATAATATTATACCTTACATGATTCACAATCTAAGAATTATAAGGATAAATTTATCATTGTCCTTCTACAAAATGTATTATTACAAAGAATTTGAAAACGATCTACTGATGGAGTCAGGCTTTTGAATGAATGTTGATCTATTATTTAAATTTAGTATAACGTTATCCACAAGTTACTACATAAGTTATTAAAAAAAATATTTATAGTTATATGTATATAGACAGTATTTACTTGATATTATAATATTTCAGTATACCTACCGATATTTTAATTTCATAAAATCTTATTTTTAGTGCAATAGATTGGAAAGTTATAGTTTAATTTACAGTTAGTAAATAGAAAGAATATTGACAAGAAATCCATACATTTCTTACTTGAAAACTTTTGGGAAAAAACACTATATTATTATGACAATCTTATTGTACAAAGTTAAAGGGATTACGTAATACCATTTGAATCTGGAATAGAATAAAAACTAGTTATCAAATACTCATTACTCATTATATATTTTTACCATTTGAATCTGGAATAAAATAAATACTAGTTATTAAATACTCATTACTCATTATATATTTCTTCTATAAGATCATGGATTCATGGCTAATATAAACATGTAGGATTCTACTAATATATTATAGTACAAAATAAAGTTATGATTAAAAATAAACAATTTAATAAATAATACTTATAAAAAACATAAAATAACCTCCAAATTTAGCTAGAAATAAAATACCCAGTATTTATTTATAAGTATAATTATAAAACATTTGTAATATATTGTTATGATGAAAAAGGCAAATCTAGTGGTTTAATTGAGAAGTTTTAAATACATTTATGGAATGTCCAGTAGGAAACCAACATTGAAAATGAAGTATTTTTTGTAGAGTTAAAAAAACAATCTAAATCGATTATGATATATTAATATGTAATTTCTCTTTCATACTTTATATTTACATGGTTTATTAATTATTTATAGTGTTCTTTGATTTATTAGTTTGTAGTACATGTACAACTTTCATAATAACTTTACAACTTAAAAAAAATAATTTATAATTAGAATTAGAATAATAAATTCTAAAATCTAATTTTATTAGGTCCCATCTATCCACAATGCTCAAAATTGCTAACAATAATTATGAAGAATTAAAACATATTTGAGGAATATCGAGTTGGAACTTAAAAGAATCATGTTAAATAGGTAAGGTTAGATAACATTAGGAACATTTTTGAACTTATTAAACCACTCTAAAAATGTTAACAGAATCGCAAAGAATAACCAATACATGTCAAAAATATAGGTACTAGGTAGGCACATAAAGTGTAGATCACCAACAAAATAAATTAAGATATATTCGGGAAAATTCACACTCGCCCATAATATAAAAAAATTTCTAGAACGTCTAAACTCTATAGAAGATTCTAGATGTAAAATGTATTTTATGATTTTCAATTTTTAAAAAACAATTTTAAGAGAAGAAAAATATTGCTTATGTTATTAATTAACTCAATATATTATGTTTCTTACCAGCCAAGTTAGCTGAATAGTTAAAAAAAAAATAATTTGTAATTATTCACCATAATAATTGTCAATAAATATTTAATATTAAAGGTCCAGAGGAAGATACTGGGGTCGGTTCTGTCAAATATTAACACAATAGTTATAATGCTATAATAAGATTCCTCTACCTAAGGTTTTGTTAATCGAATTGTATTCGAGGTGCCTGTCTGCGTTTCATATCATTACTTTTACTTCATACTTTACCAATAATTCAATCTGATAAGTGCAGATCATTTTAACCTTAGAGATGGTGACGTTTCGGATGAACTGCAGAGATGTAGTTCTAGTAGTGTTATTATTCTCCAATTGATTTGGTGATCCTGGGATCTTTTGATTGGTTAATTTTGAACTTATATGGGCCACTAGTCTAGTTATTAGTCTAGTTTAACTGATAAGTATTTCTCGTTGTTTCACAAGATCTCGATTGTGAATAACACCTGATTTTAAACTCTAATGGTTTTCGACGTTTGTTGGTTTTCACATTCGAGCTGAGGCAAGTGAAAACACCATTTTCAATACGTGGTGTATCCTTGCTTTTGTGTCACACTCGTTTGTCTTTAGTGTTAATTTTATTGAGTCTTTTCCCGGGTTTTTGTTCTAATGTTTGTTTCTTGGTAGTCTTTAGAAAGACTGTTTTCGTATTTGTATGTACCGTTACAATATAAATATAAAAAGTGGATTTAAAAAAATGTTGGTTTTCACATTATGGTTACAGTATATACATTTTGTTGGTACAAATAAAAAATTTCACATAAATTCAATTATAAAACTACATAATATTTAAGTACTTGTCAATGAAATATTAATTGTAATGATCAATCATTATAAAGCAAAATTTATTGAGGACTGAGGCTATATGTTAGCCCTATTATAAAGTATCTTTCAGGGATTGTGGACAGTGGTCAAACATTTTTAAATCATATTATAGGTTTGGTCATAAATTTAAATGAAAAATAACATTATTAGCACAATTAAAATATATTAAAAATAAATAAATAATACGTACTTTCTTTACTGTTAAGGGGATCGGTGATGGTGTATATTTAAGGAGTTGGGTATAGGCAATATTTAAAGTGCGTGCGTAAGTCATTTGTAACTGTGTGCATAGTAAATGATTATTAGTATGTGTACGGGTCTCTGCCCTACACCAGGTACTACCCACTCTACATCTTATCTGCTAATTGACAAATAACCATAACAACACTGTATAGTAATACACGGTAATAATAATTACGTAAATACCCGCATAAGCATTACGCTGTATTCTACATTCTATATTATTATTGTTCGACGTCCATTGTACACACGTCTTTTTAGCTTTACGGCAAAAACCTTCACAATTTAATTTTTAATAATTAAAAAATATATTTATTATAAAAACAAGAATTTTCTACTTATTTTAGGTAGGTATAAAGCCTAATTTAGAAAGTATATTAAAAAAATATATATACAAATGTTATGGTTCCGGTAAACCAGATGTTATAGGTAACCCTCGATCAAATCTCGAATCTATAATTTCTGGTACTAAAGATTCCATATAAAATGTTGTGCATTGGGGTTCAATATTATTTTTCCAAAATTCTTCGTCTCTTAATATTTTATCAACTACAAAACCTATAAAAAAATATAAAATATTAGATTATGTTGATTTGAAATAAAAAATGAATTAAAAAGTATAAGTTACCTTTGGGCGTCCACACTACAAAATAGCACCATTTTCGTTTTGTAATATTGAGTTGTCCTTGTACTTGGAAATAGTAACAATCATTTTTTTTTAATATTAGTTTTTCATCATTATAAATCATATATTTTAATTTTTTGTTATTTACAGCTTCTTCTGGTGTATACTCCTTTATACTTTGAGAACACTTAATCTCAACTATTGCGTCTTTGCCTATTAGTCCATCGGGACTTGCGGCTAAATAATTGAGTTTATTGTGTATAAATAATCCTGCTGGTTCAATTTTAACATCAAACTTTTTTTCAAAATCTCTTTTGGCCATTGGTTCATTTTCAATGCCATACCTATAAATAATATGAATAAAATAACATTTAATTATTTAGATTTTAGAGTACTTATGCAGTATGCTTGATTACTATAATACAAACCGAGTGGCAGGGTTTCCTTGAGTAAAATTTAATAAATTAATAACTATGTACATAATATTTTCCACAAACAGATAATAATGTATATATTAACAAGATAAAAGGAAAATAATATACGGTTTGGGATGGTTCCACGTCATTTGGTCGCCGTGAAATGAGCGCGCGTCATAAGAGCGAAGTCATTTGGTCGCGAGCAATTTAATCGCGTAAGCAAAAAGAGCGCATATTATAAGAGCGTAAAGTAAAAAAACCATAATTTTGAATTATTATAAAATCAACAAAAATTAGTGTAAATATATAATTACTGATCAGTAAAACAAAATTGATATAAAAAATACAATAAATTATGATACAATTCAGTCAAAAAACCATAGTCAAATATATAAAAATCACTGATCAATAAAATAAAATACATATCAAAAATACAATAAATTATAACATAATCAATATTATCATATTATATTATTATAGTCATAATTATACTAAATTTGTAGCTGAAAATTTGCAGCGATGCCCCTTAAATATTCGTCAATAGGTTTAATTTCGAATTGCAATACCAAATTTTTAATCCGTAGAGCTGAATCTTTATATTTTCTTTTTTTAGGAAGTGAATATCCAGAAATTGCTTGTTCGACTTTAAATTGATTTAAATTGTCTTCTTTTTTTAATGCGTTAATAAATGTCCATATGGACGGGTGAACTGCATTCAACATAGAATTAAAACCGTTATGCCAACCTTCTATTGCATTGTTTGTGCGTGGATTTTTCGTGTTCTAACATGAAAAGTTTTGGATTCAGATTAGATTTAATCGAATTTAATGCTACAAACATTCGGCGATATGTATCTTCGGATTTATCGGGCAAAAGAACGTAAACTAATGGTATCACATTTTTATCTATAATGCTATGAATAGTGTAAAGTTGAGTAAATAATTTTGGAGTGCATGAAAATGTGCCATCGGCAAACCAATAATAACTATTCTGTAATAGTTCTAAATTTTTTAACGTTGAAAACAATAAAATTCGTTTATTATCAACATTCTCCAAAAAGCTATCGTATAATAAAAACGGTTCACCACTTACAGATTTTTTATACTCGTCTGGAATACTTAGATCAGATAATGTTGCTGGATTAGGTGGTGCTGAACTGATTTGTTTTCTTGTACGTTGTACTATACGTTTTAATTGGTTGATTGGTGGAAGTTGACTAGCAATATTAATATCAGTCTATAAACAGTTTAAAAAAAAATTATAATATTATAATAATATTATTTTGATTATAACATAAGTACATACTTTAGCTGTAACTACTCCAAGAACAGCATGTGTAGTTAATTGTGAAGTTATAGCAATTTCTTTTACTTCATTGACAAATTCTTTACATTTAATTTTCGTAATATCTGGTACATGGGTATGATCAATGTATTTAACGACACTTTCCCCTATTGTGTGAACACGACCACGGCAATTTAATTTCTTATATTCATTACATTTCCAAATTATTTTTTCATTAGTGGTCTTTTCTTTTCGATGTATAAAATTATTGTGTACTAATAAATTTTTACCTTTCTGACTTAATACATACATTAATGCCATAATATTAATTAAATAATTAATACAATTTAATTTAATCAATTTAATAATATATTTAGCACACTGCACGCACGTTAAATCCCAAATGGCATAATCGTACTGATTAACCAACACTAGGAAACTGCAGTTTCAATATCAGTATCATATTGTTATCGCGCTCAAATAGCTAACGTTATTTATGTACCGCGATTAAATTGCTGGCGACCAAATGACCTCGCTCTTATACCGCGCGCTCTTTTTACCGCGACCAAATGACGCGACACCGTTTGGGATATATAAAGATAAAGACATTCAGATAAGTTACCTATATACATTTATCTATATAGTCAGTTTTATATGATATTTATTTTTATGATATTACGTTAATACATAAAATAAAATTGTAAATGTAATAAGTACATAATATAGTCAATTCAACGAGAGAATAATCACTTTTCGAGCATCACGAATGATTCGATTGGTGGGTCGAGAACCACGTGATCACGTTAACACAGCGAAGTTGGTGGAAGGATGTGAAGCTCTGATAAGATTCGGTCATCGGACTGATTATTCTCTCGTGGAAGTCTATGGTTTTTCAAAGTGACGGTGTGAAATTGTTTCGAAAATATATATTATTATTATTATTATTATTTATTTTGTAACCCTTTAAAGTTCAAATTTATAAAAACTTCTTTAAAGTCATAAACATTTTTAAATTATATTATAGGTCGGGTCAGAATCCACAAATATAAAATAACACGTACCTACTTCAACTGTAAATAATGATATTTAACTGATTAAAATAGAGTAAAATAGATTATATTCATATTTGTCAAATAACACGATAAAATCGCGATAATAACGCGATAAATGTAAAAAAAGGTGGGCAAGTGGGTGTCGCTCTGCTGTACAGTAGGTTACAAGTGGGTCACTGTATAATGGATGATATTAAATTTGAATTCTATGATATAATATCATTGTATAAGAAAAACGATTCTGAGCGGAGACGGTATGTCAGTCCAGGTATAAGACATATTATATAGGTACTTATCTATAGTAGGTATTGAAAAAAATTTACCTATAATAAATTCCAAATTAATCATATCACAATATCCATTAGATACTTATAACGCGTTATACATCAACAAAAACCGTGATACTATCATAGATATATAATAGTACACTTTAGAAGTTTCAAGTACCCACGAATAATATTATTCAATCACAACAAAATAACTAAAATAGTTATTCTAGGTTTTTAATATGTAATTACGTCCAAATTTGAATTTAAAATGTCTGTAAAAAATAAGTGTGTTCATATATTTTTTAGATTTTTTGGTTATAGTATGAACTATTTATGAGAACCTTTGTGTTGAATTTGTAATCCTTAGCTATAAAAACTGAACATTTTATAATTTATTAATTACAATGATTGATAATTTTCGAGATTTTGATGAATTTTGTCAAAATTTGATCTTTAAATGCTTATAAAAAAAAAAACTGTGCCTATGTATTTTTAATAATTTTCAACTGCTATTGTAACAATATATCAGAAGCCTTGTATTAAATTTTTACACTTTTTGGCCCAACAGATAAAACTTTATTGATATTTATAGAAAAAAAAATTGAAAGCTGTAAATGTCCATTAACAGCTCATAAAGAGTCAAAATATTTTCAAAATTGTATGGTGTATAGAAAATGCTAATTTAAACATTCAGTAAAATTTTCATGTATCTACAGTTAGGTATTCGTTTTTGAATTACAACAAAATAAGGAAATCGCTACAAGAGTAATCGAGTGAAAATCCAATGTTGTAAAAATTTGAATTTCAAACGCTCATAAAAATTTAATTTGACTGTCCGGTAGAGATTTTTTTATGGATAAAGGTAGATAATCTTATGTTTCATTTTCAAATCTTAGATTTAAAAAGAAAAATTTTTACGAATTCTTAACTCAAAATAATTTGCTAATTTTCGCGATTTTTCCATATTTTGTCAATTTTTGAACTTTAAATGCTTATAAAAAAAAAACTGTGACCAACGATTTTTAATATTTTTCATCTGCCTTTGAAACAATATACTAGAAGCCTTCTATTAAATTTTCAAGGTTTTTTAACCAACAAATAAAATTTTATTGATATTTCTAGGAAAAAAACTAAAAAAAATGAAAAATGAAAATGTCCCTAAACAGTTCAAAATAAATCAAAATATTTTGAAAATTTTATCGTGTATAGAAAATACAAATATAAACAACCAGTGAAAATTTCATATATTTACGGTCATTTGTTTTAAAGTTACACCAAAAACCAAATTCAATTTTCTGAAAAATCGATTTTGCGTAAAAATTCCCGTTTTTCCTTAATTTTTATGTTGTTTTTCCCGGCGCTTGTGAAAACTACTGGGAAATTTATACTTTTGAGCCTTAAAGTACCAACTAGATTCACTTTCCTATCAGAAAAGCTACTGATGAAGAAAATCCAAGCACTTTTACTGTCCTAAAACGTGATGACAGACACAAAAAAAAAATAAATATAAAAATATAAAAAAAAAAAAAAACACACATCATTGTAAAACCAATACATTCATCGCTCCGCTCAGAATCTAAAATTATAGGTTTTGAGAAAAAAGTCTTTCAGATTGTTATTTTTTTTTCTCATTTGATCATTTTAGGGGAAGGGAATGTAAAAATATGGCAATAAACATAAATTTTATTTACCAATTGCCTCTACAAAAAAAAGTACCATACCAATGTTATTAATAATACAATATTAGATACAATTAATACTTGAACTGAATAGTTGTATTAAATATTTAAATGTGATAAACACCTTCGGTTTTCTCAAATGTTAATGAACCAGTCTGGGTCCGATGTGTGGTTATTAAAAATATTGACTTCATATTATATGAATATTTAAAAATACCATAAATATTTTTTGTTTTATACAATTGAATGTTTTTTAATGTTTGGTTTTATAAATAAAATGTATTTTCATTAGAACTATAATAATGGACGAAATAGTTAATATTATAATCATATGATATTGACATAAGCACAGACTAAAATAATACAATTGAATAAAAAAAGGTGGGTAAGTAGATGTTGCTTTACTAATTATATTTGATGGTATTATTGTAAATAAAGTAATTTAAATATAACCTATTTACGTGGAACCTCGATTTAAATTATTAATGATTAGCTATAAAAGTTGAAAATTGTATACATTTTTAACTACAAAATAATTATTTTATTTTAAATTTGATACATTTTGTCAACATTTGAACTTTAAATACTTATAAAAAAAAAAATTCTGAACATTTTTTCAATATTTTTCAACTGCTATTATAACAATATATTATCAGGAGCCTTGAATTCAACTTTCACGTTTTTTTACATAACAAATACAATTTTATAGATATGTATAGAAAAAAAAAACTAGAAATATTGAAAACTGACAATATCCGTAAACAGCTCAAAAAGAGTCAAAATATTTTCAAAATTGTATGGTGTATAGAAAATGAAAATATAAACATTCAGTATAATATTCATGTATCTACAGTTATTTGTTTTTTAATAACAACAAAATAACAAAATAGCTTCATGAGAAATCGAGTGAATATCCAATATTGTAAAGTATGAACTTCAAACGCTCATAAATATTTAATTTAACTTGTTTGAAGACATTTTTTTTTTGATAAAGATAGATAAACTTATGAACAATCTCGAATTACATTTTAATCTTAGATTTTAGATTTAAAAAGAAAATTTTTATGAATTTCTAACTCAAAATAATTTGCGAAATCTTCGTCATTCTTACGTATTTTATGAATACTTGAACTTTAAATGCTTATAAAAAAAATTGTGAATATTTATTTTTAATTTTATTTATCTGCTTATAGGAGCCTTCTATTAAATTTTCAAGCTTTTTTAACCAACAAATAAAATTATATTGATATTTATATAAAAAAAAAAAATAAAAAAAAATGGAAACTTAAAATATCCGTAAACAGCACAAAATAAGTCAAAATATTTGGAAAATGTTATTGTGTATAAAAAATGCTAATACAAACATTCAGTCAACATTTCGTTTACCTACATTTGTTTAAGAGTTGCACTAAAAACCAAAATCGATTTTCTCGAAAACAGATTTTGCGGAAAAATTCCAGTTTTTTGTAAATTTTTCTTTTGTTTTTTTGAAAACTACTGGGAAATTTTTACTTTTGACCTAAAAATGTACCATCAAGATTCACTTTCCTATCAGAAAAGATACTGTGAAGAAAATCTAAGCATTTTTACTGTAATAAAAGGTGATGACAGACACAAAAATAAAAAATTTAAAATTAAAAGAAACACATCATTGTCAAATCAATACATTTACGCTCAGCTGAAAATCTAAAATGTTTTTAAATACCTATATATATATATATATTATATATATATTTTATATTTAGATACTTACCAATTTCAGCTTCAAAAAAATTATAGTATAATAATAAATAGGCTATTAATTATAATTATATAAAAGTTAAATCTACATTTTCAGTAAAGTGGTTTTTATTTCAAATTATATAATGAATAGATTTTTTCAAAAATGACGGTAATATAGGTATTATCTGTGAATTGTTAACATAAGTTAGACGTACAATCTGCATTGTTATTCTATATAGGTTATATTTTATCTTATGGGGCTTGAAAAAAAAGCATGCTTGAAATAAATTTAAAATAAGGTACTATGATTTTATTGTGACAAAAATACAACTTGTATGATAGTTTTCATTTAAAAAGTATCGTTTTTTTTTTTTAAATAATTTATGACAATTTATTATTGTTAAAATAACAGTAATTGATATACTATCAACAATGAGCGCATCAACAAAAGTTATAACTTATTGTTTATTAATTATTACTGAAATACGGAATACAATAAAAAACAAAAAATTACATACTTTTTAATGACTCTGAATACAAAATACAAAAAGGTTTATACATGGTTAAATTTTATAATAGTTGGCTTAAAAATAATTAAA